CCTGCAACAGGGGCAAGTGTCAGTCAACTTGTCTGATGGATGAACCTTGTCTGGGGGCACTCCAATGCAGGGCAGATTCAAGACTGAAGAGTGGTAGAAAAGGGTAAATTGACGTTGGGTGGCAACAGGGCTTTCCCTACATCTTCCAGCACTACTTGTGTGGCTGCTCCTTAACACAAAACAGGGAAACAACTTGTTTAATGACTTCTCCTGAGCTAATTTTGGTGGCCAAAAGTTCTCCTGCCCCTGTGTTTCCTCCTCCTGGGGACAGGCAGGAATGCAGAAGTTGAGAGGTTGTGTGAAGTTCACCCTTCCTGAGAAGCTCCTCTTGCTTGGGCATGTCCAGAGGGATGTTGTGGTTGAGCTGCTGAGCTGGTTGAAAGAAGGTGCTCCTCGTTGCTCTCTGAAGACCCCGAGAGTGTGAAGCTGTGGGTGCTGTTGTGACTTGTTGGGAACACCAGAAACGCCCGGTGTGGCTCTGCCTGTGCTACAAACCCTGTCCTACCCTACCCTGCTCCTCTGAGTCACCCCCTCCACCCAGCCCTCCCTGGAGAATTGCAAAACACTCCATCTGTAAGGTCTCCTGGTGTGCCCAGGGGACAAAGCTGACGACGCCACTGCATGTTAGAGGTCAGCCAGTGGGGGAAGCAGTGACTCCTTAGTGTGGCCTGGCTCCTTTGGAGTGACTAACACTCGAGTCAAATGGGGAGAGAAGCTGTGGGCAAGTGACACCACCAGAGCTCTTGAACCTCATGGAGGTCATGAAAAGAATAAATAAATGTTGGGGGCATGTCGCTAAAACAAAAGTCACAGGAAAATACACTTTGGCTGGACCAATTTCTTCTGAATTTCCCTCCTCTCCCTCTCCCTCTCCCTTTTTTTAAATCTCTTTCTGTTTTTGTAACTAAAATTAGAACCAGAAATGTAATTTCGAAATGCAAGCTAGAGAAAATCTCCAGTTGGTTTATTTTGCATGTGAACACCTTGGCTTTTCTTTCCCTAGATCTTTAAATCCATGCCTGGCATAAACCTCTCCTGGGCTCACCTGCTGCCACACTCCAGTTCTCTGTTTTCCAGTGGTTTTGCTCTCCAAAACAAACCCCAGACAAGCCAAGTGCCCCCAGGTCCCCAAAGCCAAACTGCTTTATAAATAACACCCACTGAAAATGGTTATCCCACCCTTTCAAGTGGGCAAACCTGGTTCCAGAGGTATTTGAGGCTCCTACCACTTTCCAAGCTTGTTTTTATTGACCTTTGGCAGGTTCTATGCCTGGAAGTTTTATCTCTTTCACCACCAGGAGTTCAGCAAGGCTGGGAAGGAGGGATCCAAATCAAGGTGTTATTAGTGGGTTATTTGGCTGTTAATGGGGAGAAGAGATTCAAGATTCTTTTGGCACAGTGGTACTTTTTTTCCCTCCGAAAAAAAAAAAAAGAGGAAAAAGGACTTTAATTGAAGCCTGCAATGTTGTATAAATGGAAGATCTAAGTTTTAATTGAAAAATAATTATAACCACTTAATCATTTTAAATGAGGGCTGTAATTGCAGTCAGTTCACAATAGCCAAATACAGACACTTAGATTCCCGCAATAAAGCAGGGATGGTACAGCTTGATTTGCTAATAGCTCTTCCACTTCTCTCCTCTTTTGTCTCAAAGATTAATTCAGGCAAGGGCTATTAGTGCCGTTAATTGGTTCTGCAATTTAGACCTTGTGCTGGTGAATGAGTGAGTGATGCAGACCCGTCAGCCAATAATGTGAACACTTTGTCAATGTGTTGCTCATTGTCCAGCTCCTCAGAAGTCTCCCGGTGGCTCCTCCACCACCCAAGCCCGGCTCCCGGGGGGGATCAGGAGGAGCAGGGCTCCTCAGGGGTGAGGGATTCACTTAGCTTTAGATAGGTCACCCAGATGTCTTTGAAATCATTGCTGGCTTATGAATAAAATAATTAGGCAGCTGAGGTGTCCTCCTTGGCAGGGACAAATCCTGTATTCAGGAGGAATCTTCCCCTCTGTTCTGGAAGAAGGAAGTTCAGTGGGGTTGTGAGGGGTCCCCTTCCTTCGGGCAGTAGCACAAGTAAAGCCAGTCTAAATCAGTAAAGTCACAGAGAACCACACAAACTCGACTTTTATCAGCTGTTATTTGCCACAGCATCAGTGATGGGCAGGGGCACAGCTGGGGGGCACAGCTGATGGACCTGAAGTGCCAGGGCAGGGTCAGGATGGATCTCAGGAAAAGGTTCTTCCCTCAGAGGGTGGTTGGGCATTCAACAGGCTTCCCAGGGCAGTGGGCACAGCCCCAAGGCTGCCAGAGCTCCAGGAGGGTTTGGATGATCCTCTGGGGCACAGGGGGTGACTCTTGGGGATGGGCCTGTGCAGGGCTGAGGGTTAGACTGGATGATCCCTGTAGGTCCCTCCCAGCTCTGCATATTCTGGAATTCTGTGACTTGGAGCAGCCTGTGGTCTCATTCCTTAGCAAGAACACGCAGGGAAGGCTTTGCCCTTGCCATGTCCAATGTTGTGGGAGATAACTGACAAGAGAAGGTGCTCTTGTTATAAGTTAGTCGGAGCAGTTCAGTCCTTGGTTATTTTCACTGTGAGATATTCTCAATAGAAAAAACTCTCCTTTTGGTTACAGTTTGGAACTTTTTGCCTGGGAATGATGCTACTCACACATTCTTCTGGCTGCTGTGAATTGGTAAGAGTCCTTGAAATAAATGGATTGATGATTTGGACAAGATCTGTCCCTTTGCAGCACCTCCCACCGTGGGACCGACGTGCACCAAATGGAGCTGACGGAATACAAGGTGAATTTCTCCTTTGAGGTAATTTATTGAGCACAATCCTTGGCTGCCAGGAGTCTTTTCCATCTCCAGGTGAGTTGTGACAAACACAGGGAGTATGTTTGTGCTCTGGCCTCGGGCTCTGTGTTTGGCTCTGTGATACTGGGAACGCTTTCCGTGATTAAGCTCTGTTGACCGATACCGACTGTAATGAACAGTCCCAACACGGGTTGAGGTGTGTCACCAGCACTGGTATCGCTGTACCCAAAAAAAACCACGGGGAGGGAGAGTGGATTAGGAAAGCACATGAATCACCAACACTGCTCTTTTGGGTAAAATGAGGAAAAGGAGGTAATGTTACATTTGAACCTGAGGACTGTTGGTGACACACATGGAGTTGTCTTTTCCCTGCTTGGTGTTTAATTTTGGGCACTAATTTCATGAATGATGTGTAACAAACTTGAGTATTAGGCAGAACATTTTCAGAATTGATAATTGAGGGTCTGGGATAAATAATCTTAAGTGAGAGTGATATCTCCTTCATGGGTACTCTCTGATGACTGGTCAGAGCTTCAGGAACAGTGTTGCTCTGCTTTGGGTGTGGCAATGGACTGGATGACTTCCTAAGGTCCCTTCCAGCTTGCTTGGTTCTCTCAAAAAAGATGCAGAGCCAAAATTAGGAGCCAATCACGGTGTTCCCACAAAAGGCTGGATCTTCTTCAGAAGCAGCTTCACAAGGAAGTCCTGGAGACACTTCAGACCAAGCATCTGGGAGAGACCCTTGAGCAAGGGGAAGTGTAGCCAGATGACAGTGGCCACTTCTTCATGCTCCCTTATGACTTTCCAATTCCACCACCAGAATGTCAGCTCACTGAGCTCCACTTCTTCTGAATGTCCCTTCTTGAACCCTCCACAAGGCGGCTGTGAGTCTGGCACTGCTGAATCAGGGCTCACCATCTCCTCCCTCCCACAGGGAGCAGCTGTCCTGTATATTCCCCTTTACTCTCCAGCCCAAGCAGGTACCACCGGAAAAGCAGGAAAGGAAGGGAGTCTTGAGGGATGGAGCAGAAAAGTCATTACCCAACACAGTGATTATCTGCACCGAGGCCAGGTCTCAGGGTGCTCTTGTCTTACAGCAGGTCTGCCTTGCCCTCATTTTTGTCCATCTAAACAAGTCCCAACTCATATTTGGATGAGGGGTTTAAAGTAATAGTTGAATGAGGATATACAGACTCTTCTATTTATTTATTGCCCTTGGTCCTCCCACAGCAAACTGCAGGTTCCCACCATTATGTCCTCAGCAACTGCTGCCTTTTCCACGTGCTCCCAGCCTGACCTCCCCACCAGCAAGGTCCACCCAAACACTAGTGCCTGCCCTTTCCTGTGTGACATCTTTTTTTACACACTAAGCTTGGCTGAAGTGCTTCGGTTGAGCAAACATCCCCAGATAGAGGCACAGTCATAAACCATGGAATCATCCAGGTTGGAAAGTCCTCCAAGATCATCAAGTCCGACCATTCCCCAGCACTGCCAACCCACCCACCACTAATCCCTGGCCCCTAGAGCCACAGGGTTTTAAATCCCTCCAGGGATGGGGACTCCCCCACTGCCCTGGGCAGCTGTGCCAGGGCTTGTTCAATCCCTGGATGAGCCCTTAACTTAAGAGTTGGACTCTGAGGATCCTTGTGGGTCCCTTCCAACTCAGACTGTTCTGGGATTAAGTAAACCTTTCCATGAAGAATTTTTTCCCAGTATCCAACCTAACCCTCTCCCCTTGGCTCAGAAGCATCATCCTTGCCAGGGAAGGATTAGGCTCTCCATAGTTTTTATCCGTTTCATCCGATTTAGGCACCTCTGTGCTTTTTCTCCCGGAGCTCAGAGTTGCTCCTGCAGGATCTCTCCGGTGGTTGTTCCAGAGGGATCTGCTGGTCCCTCTGGGACCTGTGCTGGCTGCACCTCTGCGTGGAGGGAGAAGGTAAACAGAGAGCGAGGCGTTCATGTAACAAACTGCTCTTGGTACCGGGCGAGGAAAAATTATCTCACCAGAAACAGATAAAGGGAAGGGGAGGTTTGTGTGGTGCCAACCAGGCCTCTGCTGACTCCATCTGTGACGTAGGCACTACCTCCAGCTAAAAGTGCCCTGTGCCCTGGCTGCCTGCCCCACACCCGGCTGGCAGAGGCTCGTGCTCGCCCCGGACTTGCCTGCAGAGCACCCGGCACCATGTCCGTCACCATCTGCCAGTCCATGGGCTTCGTGGTGTCAGCCCTGGGCATCGGGGGCATCATTGCATCAACCTGTATGGACCAGTGGAGCACCCAGGACTTGTACAACAACCCGGTGACCGCCGTGTTCAACTACCAGGGCCTGTGGCGCACCTGCGTCCGCGAGAGCTCCGGCTTCACGGAATGCCGCGGGTACTTCACCATCCTGGGCCTGCCAGGTAAGGCCTGCTGGTGGCTCAGAGGGCACAGGGGTGGGAGGGTACCTGCCAGAAGCTCCGTGGGAGTGGCTGTAATGGGTGATTTTCAGGGCAGAGCGGGAACCCCGAATTCCAGCCAAAAAGGATCTCAGGTGGTCTCCCTGTTTGGATAACAGGTCCCTTGCAGAGATCTGCACCCAACCTCCCCCTCCCATGGCCAAGCAACTTTGTCCTCGCCAGAGTGGGGAGGTGCAGCAAAACTGACCACAGCTGGTCCTGGACCATGTTCCTGAGGTGTTGTCCAGAGGCTGCTCCGTGGGGCAACTTGTCCCCTGCGCCGTGGTGTGGATTCCTCCTAGAGAATTCCAGCTTCCCACCAGAAGCCACTAATATTCTTGTCATTGGAGAAGATCCTTTTCTAAGAGGATATGTCACAGTTCAGCTCACTGTATTTCTGGATGGGCTAACACCACCAGGCTGGATTTTCCCCTAATTCTCCTTTGGTTCCAGTTTTTTTCCTTCCACAGGAATCGTTCCTGGGCTGCTTGTGCCCAGAGTATCTCAAGGTGCAAACAATTAGGTTACAATAGGATTATCTGAGGGGTTTTTCTGTCCTTAATACACTGAGAAAAAAAGGCACTTAGACTGTTATACCCATCTGGCCTCTGTGCTTTGACACAGCGAGAATGGAGGGAAGGGCTGGTGTCTGGTGTCACTTGTGCTGCCATATCCCAGAGCAGGTGCCAGGGATGCATTTTCCTAGAAGGAAATGGACCTGATCCTGCCTGGACATCCAAACAAAGGTGTTTGTGCAGGGCTTGTGTTCCATCACAGTCAGCAAAGCTGAGCAGCTTCCCCAAGGGAAAGCTCATAGAGCAAAGGGCAGGACAGGTTGGTAAAACTTGACTCCAGCAACTAATTACTGGTTTAATGGTAGGACTTGATGATCTTAGCAGTCTTTTCCAACCCTTATGGTTCTATAAAGAGATTAAAGTTGCCACATGAAGAATAAATTGAAGTTTAAAAACCAAATCCTCCCTGCACATAGATACACCCACAACACGCTGCAGAACTGCCTCAATTCTGCTGCTCTAAAAGCTTAAAATTACAAAAAATGTGACTCCAAGGAAGAAGCAATTAAACTTTTCAAGTGTTCAGCTCTGGGAACTTCTTTAATCTTTGACGAAACCAGACTGGTTGAGATTTGGGGGGTTTTGTTCTTTCCAAATACCTTTGTTGCTAAGCTCAGCATTACAGCAGAAAATAAAAAAGGGATTTTTTGATAATTCCCAAACATCCAGACTGGTGTCTGTAGGGTAGGTGTTAGTTTTCTAAAATGGAAATGTTGGGGGGGAGGGGTGGATTTCCTGCATGAGCAGGATTTTACTGTTTGAGACAGGCTGTGGGAGTTCAGTCTGTCCATGTCCCTGCCCATGGCAGGGCGTTGGAATCAGACGGTCTTTAAGGTCCTTTCCAACCCAACCATCCTGTGATTCCATGATTCTGTGATTCCTCACCTCCATCCCACAAGCTCCATGGATCCCTCTCAGCCACAACATAAATGGGCATCCTATCCTAAATTTTCCAGGATTTCCAGGGAAATCATCACCTTACAGTGAATTCCCAGGTGCTTGCCGTGTTTCTGCTGCCACCTATAAAAAGGGATTTAAAAGACCCCAAGAAAGAAATTTAAGAGACCCCAGAACAGAAATTTAAAATAAATCTAAAACTAAAGGTGGGTGGGTGCCTGACCCCCCCAAATTTACCATCTTCACCCTCAGGGCTGCTAGTGAGCTGTTCTCTCCCCTTGCTGTGTGGGAATATGAATCTGTATGTGCTTTTTGTGACCGGTGTGATCAGCTCTGCCCTACAAAATGAGGTAGAATTTTTTCCTTTCTTTTTAATGAATTCTTCAGAAGTCCCCCCCTTCCCTGCTCCCATTTCCCCTCCTGTTATATATTGTCTGACACTTCCCAGTCTCTGGAGAAGCCACCAACCCACTCTCCCCACTGCTGTGTTTTATGGATTGGCTCCATCTCCCAAATCCATCTGCTCCTAAAGGCATTTCTTCCCACCCACAACCAGCAAAGGCGAACTTTATTCCAACCAGAGTGGGGGGAAAATAAGGCTAAAACAAAAATCCAATCATTCATTTGTTAAGACATTATTTAAGAGCATCACCCCCATGTTTATTTTCACTTCGCTGCACCTTGCTCGCCATTAAACCCCCCTCTTCACCCACCCCATAGTTAATGGTTTGTCAGCATTTCCATTATAAACCCCTATTTATTATTCTGACAATGGCAATTTATATTGGGAACAATAGTGCCAGGGTGAATAAAAATAATAGGACTCTCACAAACAGTGAGGTGACCTGAGCACATGGAGGAAGTTTTGCTTTCCCAGGGGTTTTTTTTGCTCAATCCCTCGCTCCCCTAGCAAAGATTAAACCTGTCTTGCCCATCATCTATCTTCAGTTTGGTTGGGAATTTTAATTTCAAATAGATGGGGGGCAAATCAAGATAATAGATGAAAATGAGAAATAACCCAGGTTCTTTGCTGCTCAGCTATAAGCGGTTGGTCTCTGGTGGAATTTGTCACTTGAGAACTGAACCTGCTTGCTCTGGTTTGGCTTTCTCTTGTTTTTTGCTGCTTGCTTTGGTGTGTGAGGGTCTGGAGGACACAGCTGGAATTAGAACACGCAAATAAGGCACAAATAGCAATAGCTGAGCTCAGGCAAAGGTGGTGGTTTCACCTCGTGTGGAAATCAGGAGGCACTTTCTGCTAAAAGGAGCATTTTCCAGTTGCTTCCAAGTTTGCTAAACTGCAAGAACAAGGGCAGTGATTTCCCTGTTTGTTCTTGGTGTTTTTTTTTCAGCTTAGTGAAATTGCTTCAGCCATTTTTGAGGAGACAATTTATTCTCTTTTGACCCTTTCAGAAGGGCTGAGGCAACAAAGCTCTGGTGGCTTGAAAGAGAAGAATAATTTTGCATTTCCAACAGCAAGCTGTGAAAGCCTGAGAGCAGCCTGTTAAACTTCTCCAACCAGTAAAAATGTCCATGTTAGAGGGGTCAGAGTGAAAACAATCCATGGGAATGTAACCACGACTTCTCCATAACACAACTGCTCTCACCTGGCTGGTGAGAGAGGGTGGCAGAGGTGCATGGATCTTCCTTAGGAGAGTTCATGTCTAGGAAGTATCAGCATTGGCTTCCCTGGATTTTCTTCCTTCTATATCGATGTTCTGACAAGGTTTTCTCTGATTTCATACAACCAACACATATTTTGTGGCAAAACCCTTGCTTTTGGAGACAGGGCATCCCACCAGCCAAGGAAACAGCATCTCTGCACCATGGAACTCTTTCATGCCCAAAGTTTGTAAGGCTGGGGGCTTTTAATGACCTGTCATAATCCTCCACTGGTGATGCCCATGGGAAAATCTCTTCCAAGTTCTTTTTGCTGCTTAAAATCCTTTAACCCAGTCAGTTCAGCTCTGAATTTTGAAATATCTGCAGGTAACTTCCGAAACCTTCTTGAAGCCTTTGGAGACCAAGTTTTGTGCACAGAAGGATTTAGGTGGCCCAGAGGGACTGGAGGCTTGACATAAACCTACCAAGGGCACATGTGGGGCTGTGGTGGGTTTGTATTCCCAGCAGGAGCTGAAGGAGGTGTTGGAATGGGGGAAGAGCCAATGGGAGGCACTTAGAGGGGTCTTGGGCACCCCAATCCCCAGTGACACTTGGGATGGGAAGAGGTGGCAGTGAGCTGGGTTCATGTGCCACATTTTTACTGTTTTGTGCTTTTACACCGTGAAAAGGTGAGAGACAGGGAAAAAAATATCCTAAAGGATCCGGGATGAGGTCCAGAAGAGGAGCAAGGCAAGGGAAATCCAAGAGGCTGTGGAGATGTGGGGCTGGGATACAGCTTGTAGGCATGTAGGGCACAGGGCAGCTTCATGGGCCACCTCAAAGTACTCTCTGGGCCACCTGAAGACCAATGGGGTGGATCTGAGCTGAGATGGGGTCCTTCCATGACCCCCTCTCCCCACTGAGCTCCAAAAGGGCCATTCAACCCCTCTCCTGGTGGACCTCACACTCCTGGTGTCACACTGTGGTCGTCACAGCAATAGAGGGGCAGGGGGAGGAGGGTGGGTTTGCTTTGGCTGGGTCTGGACAAGCTGGAATGGTGTGAACAACTGGCAGGGTGTGAGTTATATTTGCAAATTTGAAAGCAAACATGAGCTGTAGGTGATTTTTGTGGGAGAGGCAGCGATAACATTCCGGGGTTGCCATGGGCCCCAGGAACGGTTTGAGATAACGGAGAGTCAACGCCTGGGCAGATCAAACAAGTGTGAGCTGAAAGAAAGGGGACAGAGGGGAGTTTTCACAAAGTCCCCTTCCGTCTCCTGGTTTGGGTAAACCACTGGAGATGTCCCAGTAGTCATGTGAGTCCTGTTGTCTGCTCCTTGGAGAGGAAGCTTGGCCTTGGCAAGAGCTGTGTCCTCACCAAGAGGTCCTACAGCTTTCCATCACCCAAGAATCTCTTGGGGTGTGCTCTGAGCCAACAGCCAGAGTGACCCAGGTGACCTTCTGTTATGTGGGAAAATGGGATGATGAGTTTTTGCAAAGGGAAACATATTTTTCCCTGAGTGGTTCAGAAACAACCATTAAAAATAAGCTTAAAATCAGAATATCGGAGAGAGGCAAAAAAAATGGAGGTGCTGGGGAAGGGGTGGGATGGAAACAAGTTTGTGTTTTTTCTCCAGAACTTTGCTTCAACCAGCCAGTGAGGGAGGTGTTTGTGGGAGCTTTGACTTCCCAATGTTTCCAAGTGTGATGCTGATCAGAGCATGAGAAATGTGGAACAGCAAATGCTGGGATGTCTGGATAACACCTTAGCCAATATTCTTAGGGATGATCAAACAGAACCCCCCCAACCACAATAATTCTTCTAAGATGACACCATGTGGAGAGCTGGGCATGGCTGGGTGTTTGTCTGACTCTTTTAGCTCAGGGCTGCAG